CACTTAAATGAACAAAAATCAGTATCTCAATTTAGTTTTCATTCTTTAGCTTTAGTTAACCAGTTAATGTCTACAGACAGGTATAGGTTTCTGAAAAAAAAGCATTAAAAACAATAAATTAACTGAAAATATCACCTAATCATCACCTTTTTCCACCACAAACAAACTACTCAATAGAAGAAAGTGTCCCAGAAATGTTAATGCACTCACTTAAATAAACAAAAATCTATATTTATGCTTAGTTTAACAGTTGAAAGGTGAACGCATGCCACTGCATGTATATGTCTTATTAACTCTAATAATCAACATGTTTTATATGAGAAATGTCAGACTGCAAAGTTCAATAAATGTGGTAGGATTAAAGAAGAAAGTGTCTTTAAATGTCAATGCACCAACTCAAATGGAGCAAAAGTCATGATCTGAACTTAGCTCTCATTTTTTAGCTTTATTTAGCCAGATAATGTGTTTAGACAAGTATACGTTCATGAAAAAAATCATGACAAACATGCTGATGATCAGCACGTTTTATATGAGAAATGTTAGACTGCAGAGAAACTGTCCAGTCTGATAAATGTGGTGGGATTAGAGAAGAAAGTGTCTTCAAATGTCAATGCACCAACTCAAGTGGAGCAAAAGTCATGATCTGAACTTAGCTCTCATTCTTTGGCTTTATCTAACCAGGTAAAAGCCTCAATGAGATAAAACTCTCAGCTACCAGCGCAGCAGAAGAACTTTGTCATTAGTGGAAAAAACATCAACTGAGTGTCTCTGATGTACAAATCCACACACAGCTAAGCTTCTGACAAGATGTACTTCAGGTGAAAAGTGAATGAATGTTACTGCATGTATAAGCCCAGATCATTTTATACGTGAAATCTTACACTATAAAGAAACTACCCAGTCTGATAAATGTACTGAAATTGAAGAAAAAAGTGTCCTAATAATGTTTCTGCACCAAATTAAATCAACATTCGTCATTAATACTGACAAAACTAAACTTAGTTTTCATTCTTTAGCTTTATTTAACCAGGTAGGAGGCATTAACGTGTAAAGTTTTCTGAAAAATTAAATAAAAACAATAAATTAATCGGGAAAACAACAACTGATAGCCTTTATTTCCCCCCACAAATCCCAGACAGTGTTAAGGTTCTAACTAGACTCAGTTTAGTTAAAAAGGAATGCATGGGACTGTATGTAGATATCTTATGAAGTTTATTGTGAAATATATGACTACAGAGAAACTACCCAGTCAGATGGATGTAGTGGAATTAAATAAGAAGGTGCCAAATGAACAAAAATCCTAATTTAAAGTCAGTTTTCATTCTTGAACAAATCCAAATAAAGTCCGCTTTAGAAAGAGTACGATAAGACGCCTAAAATAAATTAAAATGATGAAA